AGGGGCTGAGGAAGCCAGCAGGGGGAACAGAGGAGTAGGCGCCACCATGGTGAAGGGGTGCAGTGCATTATGCATGATACACACATTATTATTATTATTGGGAATAACCATGTGTCAGAGTGCAGTTCTCACCCTAGAGAACGGAAAATGGAAAAGACCAGAAATTCAGAGAAGGCAACTTACCCAAGGTCTCCTAGCCCTTTAAGGCCAAGTAGAGCTTCCTAGGCATTTCCTGCCAGACTCACCCAGGCCCACCCACACCTCTGTTGCAATGGAGGGCCCCACTATAGTGCCCAGGAGAGCAGGTCTAGGGCACAGTGCCAGGCCTGATGAATGTCCTTCATACCCTTTTCAAGCAACAGGCTATGATTAGGCCTAATTATGGGGCCTGGTCCCTTAATATTCTGCTGGGCATGTCTCTTGTCAGTCAAATCAGTACCATCTGCAGTGTGATTCCGGCTTTAGTGGCATCAGGGGGAGGAATTTAATTCAACCCAATGTAAAGAGATTCTGCCCTCACCTTGCAATTCGAGGATTTGTCCCTCCTTTCCTGCACCCCCACATGCACCTCCTTCCTTCTGGCTCCCTAAGCTCTAGCCTGGGTGAGCAGGGCCTGGACACTCTGTACTAGAGTCACTAGCCACTGCCCAGTCTGTCTTGAACACAGGCCTCAACTTCCTCAGGGTTAAAGTAGGAGGAACAAATGTGTGCACATTTGCTTTTCCAACCTGGGCACCTTTTGGCAGGTGATTCGGGTAATTCTCGCACCACCACCACCCTGCCCATGTATCCCCGTTTCCAGCCTGTTTTCCTCTGCAGCCAGCGCTCCTTTCTTGTGTTTCCAAGTTGGAGAGCTGAACTGAGATCACGTATGGACAGGGTGCCTGGCAGGTACCAAGCACCTTAGTACCAATTCCCCAGTCCCTGGTCTTGCCATCTCCCTCCCTCATTCATTTAGCAGGCATCAGCGGAATCCCATCTCCTATGAGCTCCTGGCCTCCCATCAAACGCTCTGCTGCCACCCACCCCCACCTGATCAGAGGGCCACCCCCTCTCTCCAGTCCCTGCGACGCAACCTCTGGGAGCAGCCCCTTTGGGGATTCCTGGTCCTGGAGGACCCAGCCGGCTTCCCTGGGTGGGAGGGGACAAGGGGAAAGCCCGGCTTGGAAGCTTTCACTCCTGACAGCCGGAGAGCTCACCCACTTCCGCCCCACCTAGCCTCCGGATTTCCTGTGGTGGTTCTGGCCTCCCAATCACGCTCCTCCTCCCACGAGGGTGGGGGGGTGTGAGGGTGCTGGGGGGGAGGGGTTCGTCCTGCACTCTTTCCTGCAGTCAGAAAATACGTACCCTACAGTACCTGTGTGCAAGGCAGTGTGCAGTCACTATAGATGCAGTGATGAACAAGGCAGCGTCCCTGTCCAACTGGTGTATACCCTCTAGCAGGAGAGACAGACCTGCATAACCAACTAATGATCAGTTATGTAATTACAGTTGTGATAAGGCCTATTTACAGTATTCTGCAATCACTAATCTTCATTTATCATGGAGCGTGCTCCACCATTGATCTGACTGCATTAACTCATTTAACCCTTGCCACATTTTATGAGCAGGCACTGCTGTTACCCATTTTATAGATGAGGAAACTGAGGCATAGAAAGAGATCTGGCCAAGTGGCAGAGCCAGGGTTCAAAGCCAGGGATCTTGGCCCTGGGTTCTGTGGGTTATTACCGCCTCTGTGGAGGGGAGATGAGGTGCGGCGAGGCTCGTCATGGGGAGCCTGGCTTGGTCTCAGGGATCAGGGAAGGCGGATGTAAGGAAATAGCATTTGTGGTAAAATCTGAGGGTGAGTGGGTAGGTCAGGAAGAACATTCCAGAAAGAAGGAAGCCCATGAGCTGAGGTGGAGGACCTGAAAGGAGGCCAGTGTGGCTGGCGAGCAGAGAGGCCGTTGAGGGAGCCGAGTGGGAGGGCTGCAGCCTGTTGTATCAGCAGCACTGACCCTGCACAGTCCTTGGGCTCTAGTGACTTTTCAGTGTTTACCTAACTCAAATGAGTGAACGGTGTTTGCTGTTTCCTGCAAAAGTCCCAGGGGTTGTGAGGTACACAGGTCCCGTGTTTGGCCATAAACAACCTGAAGTGAGGCTTGGTCTCCTTCCCTGGAGCCCAGGCTGTGCCTCACGTGGGGTACCCCAGCGTGAAGTATGACTGCCTGACTCAGGTCCCTCTCCTGGTCCAAGTCACCCCCACCCAGCCCCATCCCTCATTGTTGGAAGACCTGGAGTCCCTGCTGCTTCACTGTGCAGGCTCCTCTTCTGTCACCACCTGTCGTCAGGAGGTGACAGGGATGAGGCTGCAGTCGGGACTTGCAGGCAGAGAGGATTGGGTGAGACAAAACGACAGGACATGGTGACAGACTGGGAATGAGAACGAAGGAAAGGGAGGAGTCAGTGATGACTGGAGTAAGGTGGGAGCACTGACACCGCTCCCCCTCCACTTGCCCCCATCCTGCAGTAATGGACAAGCATGTGGGCTTTTCATTTTCTGTGGGGATGTGACCAACTTAGAACCTCCCCCCCTTAGACAAGCTCCTGTTTGGAAACCTCCTGCACCGAAGGGACAGGTGGACAGACCTTCCTCCTTGCCCCTTGTCCTCACTTCTTCCATCCTTCTCTCCCATCCTCTCTACTGATTGGCATCTGGTGGCCCCCAAGGTGACACAGCACTGGATCGGCTGCCTGCGTAATTAGCAAATCATTCTTAATTGCCCCAGAGTGGAGAGAATAAAGGTGAAGGCAAGAGCCCAGGTTCAGGATCTGCTTCTTTGGGTTTATGGCAGAGGCGAGGGAAGCAGCAGTGAATCTGGGTCAGGAGTGGGTGCTCCCTGCTCCCTCCTCCCCAGTAGCTTGTAGGTCAGCTGCTGGTCTGACTCCAAAATCCACCATCCCTCAGCCACCCGGCCCTCTCAGAAGCTGAAGTCCTTTCCTGTGTGTGAGCACCAAGCTGGAGCCTGAGGATGACGGGGAGGAGGGGCTCGGGGGTCTCCCCAGGTCTCCACGCTGCTCGTCAACACCACAGAGATCCTGTATGGCAGAAAATGGAGTCGCGGCGTGTGGGTGCAAGACCCAGCCTGACTTAATGGGGTCCCAGGACATCACACTCAGGTGCAGTACAGAGGCGGGAGCCAGAAGGTGAGCGGCGTGGCTTGGCTTGGTGGCCTGGGACCCCTCACTGCACAGTGTCCCTGATGACGCGGGAGAGGTAGGTCAGGAACATGGTCTCAGGACAGCAGATGCCGGCTTGCCTGACTTCCACGTCGCCCCTGGAGATACAAGAAGTCTGTCTTCCTGGACCGATTGGCTGGTGCTGTAACAAAGACCCATGTGATGCTGGGGGCAGAGATGGAGGAGAAACTGTTCGGTGTCCCTTGTCCATCAGTAAGAGCAGCTGGAGCAGCAGGTGGAGAGGGAGGGGGCAGGGATGGAGGCAGGTGCAGGAGCTGGAAGGCCTGCCAGACTGTTCTCCAGGAGAGGCTCTATTGAACCCCTTATGCCACCACAGCTGTGCAGGGTGCACCTGAGGCCTCACTGGCTGCTCCTGTAGGTCCCTGTCATCTCTCACATGTCCCCACCTAATCCTGCAGGTCCCATCCCAGAGAACCACTACTACATGCCAGACCTGGGCCAAGTGCTCAAGGTCAATGTGCCATCCTACCTACTTGACCTGCCTGGCGGACAACCTCATGTATGGTGCCAGCCTGGGCCCCGGCATCACCCACTCTGCCCCTGGCAACAGGCTCAAGCCTCTCAAGCCAAGTGAGCTGGGTGCTAGGACGGGAGCCAAGCTCCCTGCTCAGTCACCTCCTTCCCTAGGCACCCCACACTTTCTCCCATTTCCATTTCTGACTTATAAGATGGCACGCTAACAGCACCCCAATCTCCCCGAGCTGCTGGTCAGTGCACCCTCATCCCCGCCCCAGGCCCTGACCACTGCAGTCCAAGGCGCCGGGCAGAATGACAGAAGCAGCATCCTCTTCAGGTGGGAGCAGCCTTCTGAGGCCACCTCAGTCTCATTTCTGGACCCCTGGTGCATTTTCTGTGGGGCTGTTGTCAAAAATCCCTTATTATTTTTTAATAGTTCTCATTTCGTGTCCTACTGGGCTCATAAAATAGTGGTTTTCAAACGGTAGAGCCCTGGAATGCCCACCTCTATGGGAGAGGGAGCCTGGACAAGTCTGGCCCCGGGGCCCTCATTCTTAAACCAAAGAGAAAAGAGGGTCTAATAAACAAAAACACTATAGGGGCAGGAACATGGAGCTGGGGGTTGAATGTGACTGAACCCCACACCCCCCTCTGTGACCTTCCTGTTGCAGTGAGAGCCATAAGCCAAGTAGGGAGCTGATGTGAGATCTCAACAAGCTGGTTCTGAGATGCACGCGTGGGAGGCAGGGCTGCTGTCTGCCGTGGGCTGGGGCATCATTAATCCCCTCTTGCCTTTTTCTTCCTGTGTTTAAGTCTCTGGGGCATGGGGGAACCAGCGCTCCCCACAGACCACCCTCACTCAGCCTTTGCCCTCCAGCCTTTTCACCACTGGGGCTGGTGAGGGGCTGGGAGGAGAGAGCCCCTATGTCAGACGACAAACCATCTCTGCCAACCCCCAGCAGCCACAGACAGAGGAAGAAGAGGACAACTGGAAATCCGAGGGGGATGTGCCATGCCTTCCTCCCCTAAACCCAGACTCTGGCCGTGGCCCGGACGTGGACACAGCCAGAATGGGCTCCTCAGCCCTGCTGCCCTGGAAGGGGCGGGGATGAAACTGGCCCAGGTCTGTGTGGGGACCACCTTCAAGGAGTGGGAGGCTGGCTTGAGGCCACGTGGCTGGGGCGGGGGCTTCTGTCTGCCTGTGCTTCGTCCGGAGATGGCTCCACCCAGCCCCTGCAGCAGTGCGCTCTTCGATTCCCTAAAGAGGCTTCCAGAGAAAAAGGCAGCACAAATCAATAAAAAACTCAGCAGAAACCAACAGTACACTTTTAATTAAGGACGTGTAGCTGTGCAGGATGCAAACATCTGGGCATCAGTGACTCTCCTCTGGCCCCCGTTGGTCCCTAATGGCGGCAGAAGATGCCAGCTGGCCACGGCCCCTTTCTCTGGGGTCAGAGGGAGAAGACAGGCGCAGTCAGCAGGGGCAGCTGTTGCCGGTGGGAGGGATATTTTCCCACAGGAAAAAAGGTCTCCGTGATGACACGGGGTCTCTATAGTCATGTTGAGAGCCTAATGGCCCTTGGCATAATTGATGGTGTGGGGTAGAAGGTGTCTTGGAGTTTGTTTAAGTGGTTGAGAGGGAAGGAGGTGCCACAGATGCGGAGGAACTGGTGCGAAGCCAGAGACACAAATCCAGGCAGGGCTGTGGGACAGGTTAGGGAGCAGGGCTGCAGGTGTGACTCAGGAAGGAGGGGCAGGTGACAAGTCCCTGGGCAGGAGCCCTGCGGCCATGGGATCATTTTAAATTGAGACCAGAGGATGAGCAGTCCAGGGCAGTTAACCTTGGCTAGAAAGGGCAGAGGCAAACAGGCCTGCTCTATCTCAACTCTTAAGAAGGTGGGCAGGATGGAGATGCCACAGTGGATGCCACAGTTGCCACAGCTTCCTGTGGAGACCAGGCAGGAAGCCTGGCTCTCAGCCATGCAGGATGGAAAGGAAGATTCTATGCCAGGAGGGGAGCTGCCCTGGAATGCCCCAAGGCCAGCCAGGACCCACTGTTTCTTCAGGATTCTCCCATTTTCTCCTACGGGAGCTAATGCCTGTGCCTGGGCGCTGGCAGCGCTCTGGACTCCACACTCTCCTCCCGGGTTTCACCCTTGTAACAGGATCCCTGTAGACCAGGCCCACGACAAATACTGTCTCCAGCGGGCAGGGCAAAGGAAGGGCGCGGCGCCAGGCGGTGGTGTGGTTGCCCATCAGGAAGATGCCGACTTCTCCCGGTGAAACTGGGCAGACAGAAGGCAGTGAGAAAAGAGATCTCGGGGTGGGGAGGCTCTCAGAAAGAAAAAGGTGGGACTGACCTTCTGCACAGCAGCAATGGCAGGGCCAAAGGTAGCTTTAACCTCCACACGGGCTCGGATCCAGGCCGGCAGCTTGGCCAGGACAGGGGGCCGGGCGTATCGCTGGTCCAGGAGCACTATGCTGGCAAAATCCTTCTGGTGCCTGATGGCCCTGCCTGCACAGGAACAGAGGCTGCGGCTCCGAGTAACACCTGCCTCCCCACAGCACATTCCCATGGCGTCCCCTCCCCTTCCTCAGACTTATTTAGGAGACAGAGCAGGCAACCCCCCTTTCCTGTTCTCCCCTTCTCCAGCTCCCATCTGTCCACCCAGCTGGAGGCAGCCGGGCTCACCTATGGACTGGTTGACGGCCTTCATGCACAGGTTCTCCACCAGATTCTTCCCTGGGGGCGCCTGGCCTGGGGCTCTGGGCTGGGGGTGGAGGGGATGACTCATCAGGACTGTTTCCTGCCTGCAGCTCTCCCTGGGAAGAGACCCTGCCAGGCTTTGGAGCCAGACCAGGAGCCTTCGTGGCCAACGCCAGCAGCACGGGCCCAGGTGACATCACAGGGAAGATCAAGAGGGTGTGGAGGGGCATCCAAGCCTCCGGAGGGGGCAGGAGACGCCAGCACAGTGGGGAAGGCCCGGCTGTATCAGCCCTAAGGGCGACGCCACTCCCACCCACCGCCCACTCTCCTCTCCCGCTCTGCGACACTGGGGTCACTCACGAGGGTTTGATCCAAGTAGGCCATCTTCTCCTGCAGCTCTGGAGACCTGATGTTGGGGAAGGGCATGCCCACCATCACCACACACCTGGAGAGAGGCAGAAGCCCAGGGCGGGTGGGTGTCAGGACCTCCCGGGTCATCACCCACATCTCACCAGCTGCTCCGTTCTACCCCTTTCTCAGCCCTCTCCGACTGTGATCAAAGCTTTGACCCTCCCTGCTCTGTACCTACCGCCTGGAGAGGGCTTGTTCAGCTGAGAGATCCCATCTAGGCCAATGGATTGGGTACTGATACCGCAATGGCCAGCCTGATTTTCCACCCGCTCTCCCAGGGCCAAACCCAGAGCTGCTGAGCCCCTCCCTCCAGCTGGCTGGTCTGAGCAGTTGCAGCCCAGTTGTGGGCTCTAATGGCAGCAGACACAGGCAGGGGCCCAGCTGCTGGGAGTGAGGGCCGGCCAGGTATCATAGTCCAGGACAGGAGCAGAACCACTACTTACCGGCCTAGGTTGTCAGAGAAGTTGATCCCTTCACTCATCTTTCCTCCAACAACAGAGAGGAGAAGGGCCCCCGTCACCCGGCCTCTCTCCTGGCCACAGGCCTGCGGGAGACACCCAGATGCTGAGTTCCCGAGCCAAAGCTTGGATGTCACCCACGTTTCCAGCTGCCACCCCCGCACAGTCTCAGACCCAAGCTCAGCATTAACGCCCGCACCTGAATGCACCTGGAATACGCCAGCAGCACCTGCTCCACCTGGTGCGCGCTCTTAGGTTCCTGGAATATCTGAGAAAGACAGAGGACATCTCCCAGAGACAGGTTCAGGGTGCCAGGTCTCAGGTCTGCTCGTGGCCTTGTCTTCTGGCCAGGGGACTGAGAACCTCACAGCCAGGGGCTTTGGGGAAATCCTCTGCAGTCAGGGACTGGGAGCAGCGGGGATGAGGAGCCAGAAGCCTGTCCTGACTCGATGAGCACAAGAGCTCCCAGGAGGACTCAGTGGCACCGTCCTCAGGAGTGGGAGGGCCGGCGGACAGGCCACTCACCTTCTTCCTGGCAGCCAGGCGGCCCAGCAGGCCACCCTTCTCCCAGTGGGCATGGACTTGGCGCAGGTACTCGTAGGAGGGGAAGAAACAGACCACCCCTCCAGGAACCACACTGCACAGGTTACAGAGGATGCGACCCGCCTCGTCCATCTAACAACGGAAGACAGGAAGCCCCCATGGAGCCACGTCTCAGTCACCCACAAAACCATCTTAACCTGAGACCTAAAACTGAGGAGAGACCCACGGCAGGACTACAGCCAAGGAAGAGGACTTGGCTCCCCTGGGTGGGAACCGCAGGGTGGTAGGTGCCGCCTCCCACCAAACACACCCAGCCGCTGCTGCGGACTGCGCCTTTCTGACACACGTCACAGCACTAGTGTCCCTGGGGGCCTTCCTACTGCCCTGGCACTGAGTCCTCCCGTCTTCACTCCAGGGTCCTGATGGGCACCGCAATGACAATCAGGGGCTGCATGCCCCAGGCACGCCCCAGGAGATGCCCCCCAAGCCCCGCATCCCTGCCACCGGCAGGAGCAGATATAACCAAAGGGCAAGAGAGCCAAAGGGAACCAGCAGCTTTCCTCTGCGTGAGGCATCCTCAGGGGATGCCTGGAGGTTTTAAGAATATGTACTTCGCAGCCTAAGGGGTGAGGGGCGGGGAAGCTCAGACCTTCCTCCGTAAGCATCTAGATCGATGCCGCTCATTCTGTGAGGCTCTATAGCGGGTGCCCCCCTTCCCCCCTAGCCCCATGCAATTTCCTCAACACCTGAAAACACTCAGGGTGGGCCAGAGTGCCCCTGCCCCGGAAAACCCTTTGCTGCCTGAGCCCAGGCTGTGGCACGGCGAGCTGGCTGGGACTGACCATCTGAGGCAGCTCTCTTTTCTGGAACGTGAATTCCAGCGGCTGGTTGGAGATCCCGCTGCAGATGACAAGGGGCAGGATATTGTCTGGAGGGATCACGTGACCTGGTAAGAGCCAGGGAGGGGCCGAAAACTGGAGATGCAGGGGTGCTGAGACACAGTGCAGAAAGGGCATTTCCCCGCCCCATCTTCCAGCACAGGAGCAGCGACTGACAGCGCTCACCCACCCACCACCGCCAGTCACACTGGGCAGCAGGCAGCAGGGAGCAGCGCAGGAGAGCCTGGGCGAGCGCATGAAGGGCAAGGCTCCCATCCCGGGGTCTCCTCCGCCCCTGTGCCTTGTTGCAGTAAGAGGTTACACGCAGAAAACAGGAGCCAGAACCTGACCTCTAGCCTGCCCCACCCTGGGCACAGCTCCTCACCACAGGAAAACTCCACCATGCGTTCAGCTTCCACCCCGGCACAGGCCAGCAGCTGCTGCCGGAAGTCAGACACCTGCAGACCAAGGCCACAGCGTCACGGCCCCGTGGCCCCTCAGAGGCCCGGCAGAAAGGAAGCAAGAAGTCTGGGCTAAGAGACAGCAAGTACACACACACTGAAAGAAGAGGTCAAAGAAAAGGCTGACGGCAAACTAACAAAAAGAAAAATGGTGACTGATACCCAGTGCTGACAGCCTCGTTTAAACTACGTGCAGGAACAGCAAAGGAAATCCAGCAAATCTGGCACAGTCACTCTCAACCCTGGCTATGCAGCAAAATTATAGTGAAAATTTTCAAAAATATAGGTGGCCAGGTCCCAGCTCAAACTACTGAATAAGAATCTCCAGGTTTTCACCTGTTAGACGGGCAAAAATTCAAAAGTAACCAATCCAAAAGAGAAACAGGCATTCCTAGATGTTACTGGTGGGATACAGAATGTCCAATTCTTATGAAGAGGAATTTCACAGTAGTTAACAAATTAAATGTATTTATACTTTTAAACCCAGGATCCCATATTTAGGAGTTTACTGAAAATATACAGCCACAAATACCAAACAGCATGTGCCCCGCGCCTTTCCCTGTAACCGTGCACCTGCCTCTCCAGAGAGTACTGGTTGAATGAGCTCCCTACATCTGCCAGACGGAGAACCACGCAGCCCACTAGAGGAGCAATGGCTGGGACAACTGACTGAGATGCTTTCTATGTAAATAAAACAGGAAAGGGAAAAATGAAGACACATTTTTGCTTATCTGGGGGAAAAAGAAAGACCGCAAGGACAGGCTAGCAAAACTAACTCCCTGTGGGGGTGGGGAATGGGCTGGAGAAGGACGAGAGTGAGGCTTTCCTGAATAGATCTTTTTATATTAGCTTTGACTTTTGAACCACACAAATATTTACATATTTAAAAACTACAAGTCAGAAAAGAAAAAAGCATATTCTAAAATTGAAAAGAAAATGAAACAAAAACAGCCTAGCTCTCTATGAAGCTGACAACAGAAGCACACGGAGAGAAGCCTGGCTCCACATGACTTTAGAGCCTAGTGACCAGACATCCTTAGTGCGTCAGACTGTTAAGGGCAAAGAGGAAAGGCAATTTCAATCAGATTTATTGTTAGAAGTAATATTGGTATTATGATTTCAAAACTTTTAAGTATATTATAGGATAGAGCAGATTAGTATGTTAATGTACCACAAATGTTCAGGCTTAAGAGAAAAAGAGGTACAATATAAGCTCAAGTAAACAAATGCTTTGATTTTTACTTAGAAATACCAATATGGGCCAGGCATGGTGGCTCATGCCTGTAACCCCAGCTCTTTGGGATGCCAAGGCTGGCGGATCACCTGAGTTCGAGACCAGCCTGGCCAACATGGTAAAACCCCATCTCTACTAAAATACAAAAATTAGCTGGGTGTGGTGGCACATGCCTGTAATCTCAGCTACTCAGGAGGTTGAGATATGAGAATCGCTTGAACCCAGGAGGCAGAGGTTGCAGAGAGCTGTGATCGGGCCACTGCACTCCAGCCTGGGAGACAGAGCAAGACTCCCGTCTCAAAAAAAAAAAAAAAAAAAAAAGGAAAAAAAAGAAATACCAGCATGGATTCATTCTGAAAACATTTCCTAGATCTGTCTACTGAAATGCCCCAGGAGCATGACAAACCCCTAGCACCCACAGCTTGATTTCTAAACGTCATTCCCCATTACAAGAAACCAGGGCGGCTTGGAGAAATGAATCCAGTGTGGGGGCAAGGACACCCATGGTGAACCCAGGACATTCTGTTGTGCTGGAGGCAAGACTGACTGGGCCACGGCGAGGACCTGAGCTAGCAGGAAGGGGCTGTCACATCAGCTGAGACAACGTGAATGTCAGAAACAATAATGACCATGAACAACTTTAGTATGCTGAATGAATAGAACTATGAATCTATACATACAAAAATATAAAAATCAAAAGCTAAGGCAGCTGGGGCTGGGAAGCACTGCTTCAGGATTCCCAACAGCTTTTCGTCCAGGAGGCCCTTTCCTAGGTGGGAGTCACCACTGTGCAGAGATGCCGTTATATTCATCCCAGTCATGCTCAAAACAGAAAACTGCAAATAACCTGCACACCTAGTGAAACAGGAGCAGCTACATGAAATGCTATGTATCTGTGTACCTGGAATCCAGCACAGCTGGGATACTGAAATACGCGCATGCTTGCTGACAAGGAGACAGGTTTATGACCCTTTGCTGCCGAGTGAAAAGAGCGAGTTCCAGTGACAGCACGTGGAGGGAGCCGCACTTTTGTTTTTAAAATAGGTATGCACATAAGTAAAAATGATGCCTACAAAGACTATTATATTCATATACATCAAAATGAACCTTTTAAAAGTGGAATCCTAATTTTTTTCCTTGGGTTTCAAACCACAGAACAGCTTTCTCTGGGAGACATGTGATCCTGGCACTAGAGAATGGAGCAGCAGAGGAGTCGCCGCTGCCCCTCCAGCCTAAAAGGCACAGCAGTGAGACAGAATAGCAGTGTCACCCAGTGGACACCACTGGGCCTGCTCGAGCTGACCCTTTCTGGCTTGGGGCCCCAGGAGAGAACAGGACTGAAAATGCATCTCTCCAAAGCCCCCATCTCATCCCAACACATGGGGCACAAGGGGCTGGGAAAGGCGTCCTTACCGGCTGCATGGTACCCCCTGCAATGACCACTGCCCGGCACTCCTTCACCACTTGGGCAAAGTGCACAGCTGGATTCAGGAGCAAAAACTTAAGGGTGCTCTGACTGAGGCTGCCTGGAAAAACAGATCGGTGGAGAGTGAGTGCAAGCCAACAGACACTTCTATTGTCCCACCAAAGGGGGTCCCAGGTGAGTCCAAGTCTGAGGCACAAGTGCTAGTGCTTTCTCTTTAAACACCATTTAATCTCTAGGGCAATCAGCCCACAGAGGTGGACCATACTATCCTCTCCATTTTCTTTTTTTTTTTTTTTTTTTTTGAGATGGGGTCTCAATCTGTTGTCCAGGCTGGAGTGCAGTGGTGCAATCTCGGCTCCCTGCAACCTCTGCCTCCTGGGTTCAAGTGATTTTCCTGTCTCTGCCTCCCAAGTAGCTGGGACTACAGGTGTCCAGCTAATTTTTTGTATTTTTAGTAGAGATGGGGTTTCGCTGTGTTAGCCAGCCAGGATGGTCTCAATCTCCTAACCTCGTGATCCGCCCGCCTCGGCCTCCCAAAGTGCTGGGATTACAGGCGTGAGCCACCGCGCCCGGCCTATCCTCTCCATTTTCATACAAGGAAACTGAAGTTGAGAAAGAAAACAGTCCAAATCACAAAGCTCATAGATGACAAAACCATGACCCAAACCAAAGCCCATCTGCCCCACAATGCAAGCTTCCCTAGGACCCTTGCCCGAGAGGACTCCCATCCCAGCCCCTCGATCTCCTCCTGTCCGCCTCCACTGCTTGCCCAGGTCACAGCAGGCCAGTGCCCACTGCACTGCTTCCTCCTAACCCGGAAGTTCCCAGGACGGAAGGAAAGAATCCTTTCACACCGCGGCTCCCTGGCTCAGCTCGGCTCCTTCCTGGGAACTGAACCTGGCCAAGAAGCACCTGATTACCTTGGCGGCTCAGGATGACCCTGCCGTCCTGGTTGGCTGTAGTGAGAGCTGCCAGGAAGCCTTCGATGTGCATCAGTGGGGAAGCTGGTCGCGGGGCGCTAGCCTGACTCTCGTCTGCGGGGGCTGCAGGAGCTGCACAGAGCAGAACGGGCAGGCGGCTTCCTTGCGGTCAGGTCCACATGCAAGGAACCGACGTCCTTGCCCAGGCTTGCAGCTGGCTCTGCTTGCCCACCCCACTGCCTTACCTTCAGTCGTCCTGGGCTGCAGGCTCTGCAGGAATTGCTGAAACCCAGCCAGTCTGGGCTGCTCCCGGGATGAGAGCACTGCTCCATACCGTTCTGTGAATCCAAAGAGCTGGGTGGAATGAGAGCGAGCAGCGGAGAGGAAGGAGGAACAGCCGTGAAAGAGAGGCTGGGCGGATCGGAAGCTCTGCCAGGCCCAAGACGCCTGCAGCACATATCCCACCACCCCAGCAAGGCCCACTGCACCAAGGAGGGTGGAGATGAAGGGGACTCCGGAGTTCCCTGAGGGCAGGGGAGGAAAGCATGGCAAGGGCAGGGGGTCGGGGCACAGTTGGGTCACGTTCAGGACCGTAAGACGTGAGCAGTTACCTTTCTGCTGATCATGCTCTTCTCACAGTATCGCTGCACCTGCAAAAACCAAGCCCAGCTGTAGGCATGTGTGCAAACTGAGCAAGCTGTAATCTCCAAAACAAAACAAAACAAAAAATACACACACCACTTTTACCACCCAGGCAGCACAATGCAGTGCTACCTTCTGAGGCACCCGGAGCCTCCCTGCCAGCAACCCTGTCATCCCCTCTTCGAGGCCACCCCCTCCTCTACTGCCCCTGCCCACAATGCAGTGGCCTCCTCCTTTCGGAAAGGGGAGACCCTCTTTCCAAAAGTGTTTCTCAAGTCTAAGAGTGCTCAGTACAATCTAGGTCCCCTTGGCTTTCCTTCCAGGTGACAGAGTTAAAAAAAGGAACTTCTATGAGCAAAGCCACCAAGTCGGTGCATCCAGTATGTGTGGTTTGGTGCCAGATCTCAGCTGGGGATGCAGAGAGGGGAGTTTGGAGCCTTTAAACTGGTTTCTAAAAAGAGCGACATCCTTCGACGAGGATTCCCTTGATGGTGGGTGATGAGACCCACGGGAAGGAGAGAGAAGGAAAGCAAGATGGGCAGAGGGATGGCGAGGAAGGAGCGCCTGCATCCATGTCCCAGCTGTGGGTGAAGCGCAGTGATGGCAGGACTGTCTGAGGGCTGTTGGGCCTGTCGGCTATCACAGGCATGTGGCAAACAAGGGAAGAAAGGCATCAACGATGACCTGGATCCAGCCTGTCTGGCAGGGATGGTGGCAGTGACAGTGACCCAAATGGGTAATTCAGGGGGAAAGCTGGTTTTAAGGAAAAAAACGCAGGCAGGATGGGATGAATGCGGGGCCCCGACTCAATGTAGCCAGGTTTGGACGCTGTCTCTGCCGTGTGCTATTGGCTCACTTGGGGGAAGACTGTGCTCGCCACCCTCTTGAAGTCACCTCCCTGGGCCTGTTTGCTTTCCTTGCTGGGGCAAAAGGATATCCTAGCTCAGAGCCACAGCACATGGCATGCCGCCTAGAACACAAGCAGAACCCTGTACCCGGGGACAGTCACTGTTGCTGATCTGAGTTACAAAGTTGGGGTTCAGGCGGCAGTGGCCATGTTCCATGTGGGGAGTGCCGGGTATGCAGACCTGGAGTGAGCAGAGGTCTGAGGCTGCAACCAGACCCAAGGTCCAAGTGGGAAGACGTGATGAGTTGCACAGAACAAATCAACGTCCTGCTCCTGTCCGTAAGCCTGAGAGACTGTGCCAGAGGACGGAGTGAGGCAGCGAGGACCTGGAGTCTCTATCTGTTCTATGAGGCACCAAGTAGTCTCTTCCTCACCCATCCCTGTCGCCCTCACCCTAAAGGAAGATGACTTTTGTCTCGCAGGCATGCTGCGGGTTAAGGGTTATTACATGTCTATGTTTTGCTTTTTCTTCCTTCTATAGTCTTAACATAGTACTCTACCCACAGTGGTAACAGGAAGGAAATTGGATGTGGAATGTGGAAAGGTGGAAACCTCTACCTTGAACAGGTTGATGTTGTCAATCTGGCTCTGGAAGAGAAAATCGTTGATGGTCTTCAGCTCTGTCCCTGAGAGCAAACACACGAAGGGCCTTGGGAGCTTCACCCTGAGCCTTGGGTTTCAGTCCCAGGGTTAAGCTCGGAAGTGGCTCCTATCAGCTCTGGGCCCTCTGAGGGCAACTCTCTTACCTGTCTGTGAGAGGCTCTGTGTATTGGGATTTTGCTTAATGTTCCCTAAAAAAGAGAATGGAAATTGGTCACAATGGTGGTTCTCTGGCCCCTCAACCCTTCCCTATCTTCTCTCCCTCGGCACTGCACGTCAAGTGAGAAGAGCATCCATACTTGAAGGGCTTTGTTTTGTTTTTCGCTATTTATAGCACACAAAGGACCCACCAAGAGGGCCGGTGGGTCCAGGAGCCTCCCACATCTGACTCACGTGCTTCCACATGGAACCCAAAGCCCTGTAAGTTCATGTTTTTCACCCCTTCTCCAGGAGGCCAGGACACAGTGGCCAGACCAATGCATGCAGGGCACGGGACCACACAGGAGCTGCCCAGGCCACATGGGGAGCCTGAGGCAAAGCAGAGCTGGCGGCTCAGAGCAGCAGCACGAGACCAGCTCCCGCTAGAAGCTCCCACAGGCTTTCTGCAGCTTCCACTTCCACAGACGCCTTCCAAGGGGGTGCCCCATCATAAAAGAAGGGGACACGACAGGGTCATGCAAAGAGGCATGGGAGTCAGAGTCAGAAGATCCCAGGCTCCTGTGCTGGGCTTGGGAACCGTAAGCAGCCCTTGCTCTGAGGTCTAATTTATGCGTCATCAACAAGGATTCAAATGCCAGCACTGCTTTCTCACAGGGCACACAAAACCGCATATGCAAGTGCTTCGAACACCCCACAGCACTATGCCCATCACGGAAACACTGTGTGTTCATATGATGCTGTATCCTTACTATCCCCCCAGGGCAGGGCCTGAAATAGAAAGTCCTCAGAACATGGGCAAAGAACCCAAGGGCCTAAAAAAAGCTCAAGTCAGACAACTCAACCAAGCTACAAAGAACAAGAATTTTCTCAATCAATGACCAAGACCCTGCTTTTTTTTTTTTTTGAGACGGATTCTCACTCTGTTGCCCAGACTGGAGTGCAGTGACATGATCTCGGCTCACTGCAACCTCTGCCTCCCGGGTTTGAGCAAGCAATTCTCTTGTCTCAGCCTCTGGAACAGCTGGGACTACAGGCCACACCAACACTCCCAGCTAGTTTTTTTTGTATTTTTAGTAGAGATGGGGTTTCACTACGTTGGCCAGGTTGGTCTCAAACTCAGGTGAATCACCTGCCTCAGCCTCCCAAGTGCTAGGATTACAAGCGTGAGCCACCGCGCCTGGGTGACCCTTCTTAAAAACAGAGAATTGAAGCGTCCTGATGGGCAACCAAGGAAAAAGCAGCCCGGCAGGTTGTGCAGACCGAGGGTCAGCAGGGGGATGGGGCTCTCACCCCCCAGCACGGCCACGAATTTCTCCAGCAAATACAGGATCTGCTTCAGGTACATCAGGTTCTTGGCCTTCAAACGCTTCCTGAGAAGAAGCCAATGGACATTAAGCGGTGGTGCCCTGAGAGTGACTCGCCCCGCCCGCCCCAGTGGAAGCCTTGTGCCCGGTGCCTCTCAAATTGGGTCACAAGCTACAAATCCTTTCCCAGAGAGCAGGCTGGCCATGGCGCCAGGCCTCAGAGCCAGTGGTCGGTCCCCAGCCTTCCAGGTCTGCGTGCAGCACACACCATGATGGGCCCAGGACATGAATGGCACGCAGCTCCACCCCACCACAGCCCAGGCCAGAGGCGGGAACCAAAGTGCTGCCTCTCCGAGGCCGATGCAGGGGGCTGCCAAGGGACTGTCCCACTACCTCAGAGGGTTACATCTCACCCATATCGCTCCATGTACTGCAGCAGCTGGGAATGGGCCTGGCAGAGCTGGGGAAAGAACACAAACCAGGCTCTGGGCAAGCAGCCAAGGGCTGAGCTGCTGACATCTTAGATTCGCCTAGAAGATGCTGGCCCTGGACACACAGGAAGCCACCAGAGGGAGGAGAGGGGGCTGGGTGCAGACAAAAGGTATGGGTTTCCACAGCCCTTAGGCTGGTGGGAGCTAAGAGAGAGGGGAAGGAAGGGAAGTTTTCCTCCAGCGTCCACTGTGGGTTAGAGAAAAGCAAGAGGCTGAATCCCTCAAGTACGGAATCCCCTGCTAGTTTCCACCGGGTTGGGAAAAGACCTGGAGTCTACAGAGTGATGGTTCAAGGTCACCATCACATCCTGGCCTCAATTCAACCCAGGCACGGGTCAGCAGAGCTGGTGGGATGTCGTGGGGGGTTTCACAGTCAGAAACCAGTGGGCACACCCCAGCTCCACACTCATGAGCTGCATGACCTTAGGACACAGCTTGACCATGTCTGAATCTCTAAGTTCTCAATGTAAAACAGGAACACCACCCCCATGGCAGAGTTAGCATGAAGACCAGGGACACCTGGTGCCATGCATGGCGCACGACAGGTCGGCAGGAGGAGCCTGCACTGATCTTGAGCATTCCTCAATTCAATTCCCTCCAGGCAACTGCAGTAACGACAACATCCAATCCTGAGGGGACTTCTGCCTCACTCATGCCATCTCCTTGGCTTACAGAGCTGGCTGCTGGCATCCAGGGATGGAGGGACTCGGGAGCATGGGGGCAGGTAAGGTGCAGGGAAATGAGCCACTCTGCCGTAGCGGGGTCCCCAGGATGCAGTGGAAAGCCATGATCAGCCTCCGGTGAGGTCACTGCCTTGACTTATGCACCCTCTAGCAAGCCCCACCTCCGAAGGAATTCTTGGCCCAGGTGTCTGGAGGAACCATGCAAGTCCCTTTACCTCAGGGCGGCCCTGGCCCGGGGAGGGGAGGCCCACACACCTGAGAGCCGCTGACCTCCACGCTGTGCATGCCCGTGATGGTGTCTATCAGGTTGTGCGCTTCGTCGATGATCACCACCTGTGCCTGCAGCCGGATGCCCGCAGCCTGCCGAGTGGCAGCATGCAGCAGCATCTGATAGGGCAGCACCACCAGCTGGGAGGGGAGATGAGGCCACCTGAGCAGGGCGGGGCTCCCCTGCAGGAGCCTTGCCTGCCTGACACTGAGGTCCTGATGTGAGTGCTTCTATTTCCTGCCTGGACTATGTAGCAACATTCGAAAAATAGAGTGTAGCAACGGACAAGCTTTCCTTGAGCTTTAAATGAAACGCCAACATATGAAACACAGGAAACGGGCTGGTCCGACTCCTGAGTAAACCAAGGGCAAGGCTGGGTGAGGGGAACCCCTGCTTAGCCTTGTCCATGTCCTTAAGGTCGCCCCGGAAGCCCCCGAGTTTCTGCAAAACACCTGAAAACCACTGGTGCACCAGGAAGTGGCCCCAGCTTCTGCTCCTGGAGCTACTACTTCCCAGCTGTGTGACTCTGGAAGAGCTGTCTAACCTCTCTGACCCTTGGTTTCCTCATCTGCAAAATAGGGTTGATATATCCAATCTCAAGTGAGGGTTGAGTGGAGCTCGGGTAACAAAAATAAAAGCAACTCTGCAGATCTTTAGGTGTTTGTTGTTAGGAAAGTTTCCAGTTAAAGGAATACTCATATAAAAAGTGAAATACCGGAAAACTGAATGGCTCCATCACTCATGGTTGGTGAGAAAATAAGTCACTTAACTTTTCTGGGCTCCGGTGTCCCCATGCATAGAATTTCACTGGAATACTATTAACATAAAAGCAAAATATGGTCAAAGTGCTTTAAAAATTCAAAAATCATAAAGATTTTGGGGCCATATTAGGATATTTGTGTATAAATGCCTACAGCACTAATCTTGCTCTAAAGGCAAACAGACCGGAGGGAAGGCCTGGGACATCATGGGGCCTGGCAGCTTCCCCCCGTTTCTCTGCCAGCGCCCACACAGCTCAGCAGGTATGCTGGTGAGCATTCAGCTGCGTGCAAAATGGTTACTTAGTTCCCCGAATCTTTTAAAACCTTAAATTTTTTCTGGATTATACAGCATTTTCCACAAGTGATATCCTGTTTCCAAAGTCACTCAAATTAAAGTAGCAAGAAACTAGTGGAACTGCACCCACCGAAGAACCGTGAGATACTATTTTTGATCTGCTACATTAGCAGTTCTTCCTTCTGTTTAAAAATCAAGAGAAGTTGAGGCAGAGAAGACAGTATTCTCACGTGCTTCAAGGTAGGTGTATGTTAGGAAAGCTTTCCGGTAACAAAAATGAAAAATAGGAAAACTGAATTGTTCCATCGCTGACGTGCGCCATCACATGATAGGCATGGAAGTTGGGAGCATCACTTGGAAAGCCATCTGTAAACAGATTTAAGTACCGCACTCTTCTCAGCTCCTGGCATCCTCTCCCTGTGGTTTCACTAGGAATGCACATGCTTCCTGGCTCCTAAATACTATCCCCAGTAATGCCAATTGGCTCTGTTGCCTGGAGCCCCCAAGGGATCCCACGCGCCACCTCCAACTCACACATCAGGAAAGAATGGGTTAGGTACTGTCAGTCTGAACACGGTAGGTGGCATCCCCCAAAATACAGTGTGATGAAGACTCCCCTCATGTCCTAGACCACAGTGAGAGCACGCGCGGCTTTCCGGCCCTGCAGGGCCCTCACCTGGGCTGCAGGGATGGCAAGGCGGCTCCCGTAATAGGGACAGGCCCGGGCCTCCTTCCCAAGGGCCAGCAGCTGCTCAATGTCCTTCACCTCTGCCAGGGCCTCATCCCGGAGGAGGCCCATCTGCTCGTGGTTGTAGAAGGGGCAGGCCGCCTGCTTCTCCTGCCTCCTTCTCTTTGGCTTCTCCTCCTCAGCTCCTTTCTTCTTCTCTGAGGGTGGCACAGGCACCAGGAGAGAAAAGAGAGAGGACAGCAACTGTCCATGGGCCCAACAGAGGGTTCCGTAATGTTAAGACCCACTTCCATGGGGTGGGGTCTATAGGACCCTCCCAAGTACTGCCTACAGTGGTCTCACTGGAACACTATTAAGGTTTTACTTTTGTTCTCCAGAAAGAGCTTATAAAATCATCTCCAAACCAGTGATTCCCCGACACTGACCCAGAGAGTAGGAACACTTTTTCCCAAGGAGAGGGGCCTCAGGAAGGAACTGGGGTCTCCTCTGCCATACTTCCTATGAAAGATACTTAATGGTCTTCGGTCACTGCCACCCCTGCCTCACTCTCTCCAGACCGCCTGCGGCTACGCCATGGTCCCGATGGCTACCGTGCCTGCTTCTCTGCATGTCCACACAGCGATCGTTGATAAGCTGCACAGAACCTAGGCTTTTCACGTCTTCATTGACACAAAGGTTCTGCAACAAAGGAGAAAGAAAGAGGCAAAGAGATGGTGCCAGCTCAATGACATCTAACCAACACAGGTGGACCTGCCCCGCCTCTCCTTTGCCTTCCAGCGATGGGCCGGCCAGGCCAGGGAGGGGGCTGCTCCTCACACTGGTCTCCCAGGCCTGGACGAGGACAAAGCCGTGGGGAAAGGAGCGGGATGGCCGCTGGTGGAAACACTGGCCACTGTTTACCTGCCGGGAGCCAAGGGAGACCAGCCGAACATCCTTGCCAAAGGGGCTCTTCTTCACCTCATGCACAAACTGGGCCAGCTGGGAGTGTGTCCGACTACAGTAATAAATCTAGCAGAGAGAAACAAAGGTGCTTCAAAGAGGGAAGCAAAACATCCCACGGCATTCTGTAACATCAAGGCACGCCAGGGCCTGAGAGGCTGAGGGAAAGGGAGTGGCTCCAAATGCACAAAGCTGAGGCAGGACAGTGATGTCCCACATCAGGCATCCATGGAGGGACCCAGGGGTTCCCAAGTCACCCACAGCTCCAGAAGTTCAAGGGAATGCCCCAAAGGCAGCTCCTTTCCACGAGTCATATCCAGTCTCTAATCAACCACTTTGGAGGGTTGGCCAATCTTAGGACACGGGTGACCATCTCCCGTTGCAAACAGTCCCCACTTGGGGAGGGTGGGTTGTCGGTGGGGGTGGGTGGGGAGTGTCACACACATCCCCCAAAGGGAGAAAGGAAGGCTGACCAGAATACCCTCTCTCTACTCCTCTAAGGCAACAGTGAAGGGAGGAAACAAGAAAAATACAGAGAAAATACCTACTTCCGACAGAAAACAAAAGTCATAAATCAATGAAACCAAATGGGAGATGTCAGACCACACATAACCCATAGCCCTCCATGCAAATCGGAACACGGACAAGGGGAGAAGCACCCCAAAGGGTAGGACACTCATGTCTGTCCTACCCATACCACCCAGACTTCAGCCCTGAACAGCTGCTCCTCGATGCCCTGGCATGGCAAGCATGGCCTTGCCCCCGGGAGAGGTCTCCCCAGGCCCCGAACCCGGGAAAGGTCTCCAGGGTCCACTGCAGCTGGCCAAGGGAGCAACTTGGGACCAGGGTTGCATCCGGGAAGCCACAGAGTCCAAGTGCTGGAATCTCCTCTTTTGTGGAGAGAAGGGTGAGAAGCAGCTGAGTGACTCCAGCTTTCTCCCCGGGGGTGCAGGGCCCAGCCCATAGGCCCCAACACAGCACCAGCTGAGGACACTCGTGTTACCTTAGTTACATGTTCTTCCTCCAGGTCATCCTCATCCTCATCCACTCTGTGTGAGACAGAACAGAAAACATTCTTCTCTCAGCAAACTCAGCAAAGTGCACTGAGCATCTGCTGAGCGCTGGTGATGAGCCCTGGCCATTCCCAGCGATGGGTTCCACCAAGGCAGCAGGTGCTGCTCGCTCAGAAACTCCCCCAGGCAAATGCCAACCCCAGCCTCCCATGGCCACTTAGGTCTGTGGGTGGGGAAATATAAAAAGGAGAAAGGGGCTCAGCACCCCCAACCCAAGTCTTGAGTTGGAAGCCTTGGGGGTCATGGCAGGCTGCTCTCCTCTCTGCCCTCCCTCCAGCAAGCTGGACCCCTCTGAGGTCCCAGGGGGGATATTTGCTCTTCATCACCTCAGGCCTTTGGATGCTCTGTGACTGGAATGCTGTCTCCCCTCACCAGCTCTCAGTCAACTCTAAGATAGCAGCAGAAATGTCACCTCCTCCAAGAAGCCGCCTTTGACCTTCCCCGGTAGGTCTGGCTGCTCTGACACAGATTCATGGCCCCTGCTCTTAACACCTACCTCATTCAAAATCGCTTTCTCTCAGTCTATCTCCCTACAGACTGTCATGTCCACAAGGGAGGACCCAGGTCAGCTTTGATTCTGCTGAGTCCCTGTGGCCTCACCTAGAGCCTGGCATGCGGCAGGAACCCCATGGCCATCTCCTGGATGAAGCCACAACTGACTGACCAAGTGAACAGAGGACGCTCTCACTTATGACCAGTTACACCTCTTCTGTCAGCGCCTCAGTCTGCCCTTTCCAGCAATGCAGGAAGAGCCGATCAGCACTGGGTGTTGGTGGGGAGGCCAGCCCTGCATCCCATGGCCTGAAGCTGAGCCAGCTTTACTAGTCTACACTCCTCAGAAACACAAAACCATCTGACAGGCACACACTACCTATGGGAACATCACACAAAAAGAAAACATTTTTGTTCACCTCGAAATTCCTTTCTAACAAAACAGAACACAATTGCCTTGGGTTATCAGAAGAGTAATTATTACAGGTTTGGCTTCATGGTCACTAAAGGGCAGGCAGCTCTATCTTAAAGGCTTGGATCAATCTTATGCCGCATGCTGGACAAAGCCAGCAGGAGCTCAGTGAGCGGCTGGGTGTGTGAAGAAATGAACAGCAAAAATTTTCTATTCAGAACTCAGGTCCTCTGAGGCTCACATTATCTCCTGAAATGCGAGGGTATGGGAAGCCCCGGAAGCTGACCTACAGGATCCATGGCTCTTGCCCAGACCTGAAGGAGCACTTTGTTCCTGTAATATTCACCACCTCCACGTCCACTAAAGTTCTCTGCCTTGTCCTCACGGGCTCTAAGGAAGTGGAGGGGGAGCAGAAGCACGACCTTGGAGGCGGGCAGGAAGGGTTCATGGAGCACAAGCTGTTTATGACCCTCTCTCCAGTGAGGCATAAAGCAGCACGGTGGTCTCTGCCCTGGGCAGGGGCAGAAGTCGAGATCCGCATGGGCAGCCTGGAATCACACTACTGGACTGGAACGAGGAAGCATCTGCTCATTCATGTCAACTCGATTTTACTGAGCACACCCCTACGCCAAACGCTGGGTCAGCTCTGGGAACACAAAACTATAAAGACGTGGTTCCTGCCTGAAGCAGCTCGAGCTCAGCCAGGGAGAGGAGGCAACAACAGAAGCACAAGCGGGTGCGTGAGCAAAACAGAGCAGCTGACACCCGAGGCCACCCAGATGACACCTGAGCCAGGCCTTAAAGGAAAGGAAGACATCTGCCAAGGGAGGAAGGAAGGGTGTTTGGCTACAGCACGTTGCATGAGCAAATTCTCGGACAGGACAGAGGACGGCCTGGCACGCTGGAGGAAGGTCAGGGCAGCGGGGAAGCTGGCATCTGGTGGAGGGAGGCTGGAGGTGGCGTCAGAAGGCGCCCTGCAGACAGACCGTGAGGGCCGGGGATGAACCTTCAGGAACATCCACAGGTCTCTGGTCTTGCAGTTACCCTCTGACAGATGCGGTGGCCAGGGTGCCACGGGACACACGGGACCCATCACCAGGTGCAGCCCCCCATCCCATCCACATCACCGTTTGGTTTTCCTTGTAGGCAAACACGCTGATTTCACATAGGTGCTATTTGTTTTCATGTCTATTAACTGTCCCTTCCATGTCTTCTTCCCTTCTACGTCCACAGCATCTGGACAATGCCACACCCAGAGCAGACACTCAGGGATGGTGGTGAGGTTCCAGTGTGAATGGGAACAGGGCTGTCACCAGGGATCCTGTGGGCCCGAAACGGCCTGGGTGGCCTGCTCAGGGCTAAGTCACCCAGCAGCTCATGGCTCATCAAGTGGAAACCTCAAGTCTAGACCAACAGAGGCCTTATGGGAGAAGAAAAGCTCAGGCTAAGGACGCCTTGACGGCTGACACCTCACAGGTTACCCAGCGCAGTCAGCTGCCTCAGAGCCTGAGATCTAGAGCCAGGCTGGCCGAGTTCCAGCCCAGCTCTCCACTGTCGAGGCTTGTGGCCTCAGCCAAGGTGTCTCCCCTTGTGGGGCTGCAGCCTCCTTGTGTATAAGGCACAGATCCAAATGTTCCTGCCCTGCCTGAGCTGCCGTGAGGACAGCTGAGAGGACACAGGCCAGGCCAGTGACTGTCCTCACAGCCATTGGCACTCATGGATCCTAGGAAGGACCCGGCTTAGAGCAGAGGGCAGAGGCCACCATGCCTCTCACCAGGTGCTTCACGGCATCTGTGGCATGAGGGAAAGAGCTGTCTTCAAGGGTGTCCCCTGGCCTGGGGCAGGGTAGCGCTGCCACCTCTGTCTCACCCGCTCGCTGCCTTTTTCTCCTCGTCGCTCTCGTATTCGGCAAGGACCAGCTCCTCCTCCCCAGACTCTAGCTGCTCCGGCCGCTCAGCCCCCGGGCCTGTCTCTAGCATCTCTCTGCTGAGGCGGAGGAGATTCTCCGTTTCTTCTTCTTCCTGCCTCTGGACGGGAGGAGTGGAGGTGGGGAGGGAGGAAGAAGTCTCAGCACCAGTACCCGCCTCCCACGTGCCAGAGACAAAGCACACTACGCCCATTCACAGGGGCCTGGCTGCCTGGCTGGAGAGAGGTCTACTCGCAGGATCCACGCCTCAACCACTCACAGCCCAGCTCCTGTACAGGAGCACATAGCCAGTGAGGATCATGGAGGGGAGACTGAGGCCCTGGCCACGCATCCATGAGCCTCCAAGCAGAGCGACCCTGCCTGGACATAATCCTGCCCCCCAAGAAATGAGGCTCACCAGGCGCTTGGCTGCATATTTGAACTGCGCCCTGTGCTGCAGCTGCTGCAGGCGTTCTTCTCGCTGCTTCCTCCTGGCCTGCTCCACCTAAAGGAGGCAGACATGAAGGAAAATCACCAGGAAGCCCCTAACCAGGCCTCTCCTAAGGAGTCTGGACGGCTCAGCCCGGCGCCTCCTCACCTGGGGCAGCTCTCCTTCCCCAACCAGCACTCAAGGGCTGCCGCATCCCCCACCAGGACCTCAATCCCGCAGGTCCCAGCCTCGCTGCTCACTGCGCAAGGCTGCACACTCCTCCCAAAGCCACACACTCTCCATCAGATCCATTTGCAGCCACTGAACCACGTTGCCAATGGCAATGAACAGGTCCTTTCCCAGGTGAGTAATAGATGGGAACCGACAGTTCGTTATGTGGAGAAGGCCTGCTGACCTCCAGCTCAAAAAAGATAGCACCAGGGCAGCACCGTCGACCCAAGGAGCTGATGAAGAGCTGAGAGGCACGGCAACGGCAGAGGAACACACACTACCTGATTCTCGGAATCGCCCCAGAACAATCGCTGAAGCCATGTTTCCTCCATCACTCCCACTTCGGGATACCCCTGGTCTCACCTTTAGTCGATCCACCAGGTCCCTCTCTTCTTTCTTCTGCACAAACTGAGTCACCCAGGCCGGCTCTCCAGCAGGCCTCGGGGTGGCTGCGGCCCCTTTGCAGGAAGACGACAGACACAGGGATTCATCTTTCTCATCATGTAAGGGGCCAGTTCCAGTTTCAAGGAGTCGTGCCTCTTCCTCACGCTTCTTCTGTTCAAAGTCACGGAGCCAGGAGAGGGCTCCACAAATAAGACTTAAGGACTTTCCCTGCAGAAAGAAAAATGATCTTCAGAAACAGGAAAACAACAAAGCTTCCCACATGACCTTTCCCCATTTTACTAAAAGCTTGAAAGAAGGTCTGGCTGTACATATGAGAGGATGCTCTAAGACCAGCCTAGGAAAGGAAAGGAAAGGAAGGAAATTAGCATTAGAATAGCCAGGAAAAACAGAAAAGAAGGAAGAAACGAAAATTGGGCCCAAGAAGCAGGAAGGAGCTTCTTTAATTATCCAGCTTACTGTTCTGAAAACAAATTTAAAGCAGTTTATCAGATTATATGTAAATATCACACAAAATTAGAAGCTGAGACATTAGACAAAAAGCCCCCCAAAAGAATTAAGGCCCCCAAATGCTAAGCAAGAAATCCCATGCACTTGCCAACGCGGAGCCTAGCAGCCACTCAGCCCTCATGCAGATGCAGGATGATGAGTCACGAGGGCCAGGGTTTACATGTTTTTTTAATTTTTTTATTTTTTAAAGCAAACTAATCACTCTAGAGGACACCACTCTCTCTGTCTGTTTTTGAGAGGAGGTCTTGCTATGTTGCCCAGGCTGGTATGGAACTCCTGGGCTCACACAATTCTCTGGCCTCAGCCTCCCAAGTGGCTGGGACTACAGGTGTGCGCCTCTGCACACAGACTGGAAAACACTACTCTTGACTTAAGACCAGAATTTTCTGTGAGCCTGATTGAATTGTATTCCTCCAAATTCCTATGTTGAAGTCCTAACCCCCAGTGTCTCAGAATGTGGCCTTATCTGGAAATAGGACCATCGCAAATGTAATCAGTTAAGATGAGACTACTGGGACGGGCCCCAGCCTGAAGGGCGAATATCCTTATTAGAAAGGGGACACGTGGATGCAGACATGCGCAGAAGGCAGGCGATGTGACGACACCCAAGAAGATGCCACCTATAAGCCAAGGAAAGGGGCCTGAAGAGATCTTTGCCTTGCGACCCTCAGAAGGGCCCAGGCACGCGGACACCTTGATCTCAGCCTCCAGCCTCCAGCGCTGCGGGACATCAGTTTCTGTTGTTTAAGCCCCAGTGTGTGAAGCTTCCCTCCGGCAGCTCCAGGGAACCAATACAGTTCTTCCAGAGAGGACCCTTCAGGGAGCACCACAAGGAGGTGGCCCTGGTGTCCACAGGGGGACTCAGCTCAGGGGAGTCTCTGGAGGAGTCCATGCCTTCTGCTGCAGGCAGTCAGCTCTTCCAGCCTGCTGAACCCGGAGGGGTTCTCAGAGTATCCGGGGCGGGGTGAAATACCTGGTTTGACCAGGGTTGGGGCAGCAGCGCAGCACAGGAGTCAGAGCCTCAAACTCCACAGCCAGGCACCAGGGTTCCAGCTGCCTCCCCAACCTGCAGCTCTGTGGCTCAGACTGGCCTCACTACGCTTGTTTCCACGAGTGCAGAAATGGGAATGGCAACAGTAGCACCCTCCTCATAGAAATGGTGCAAGCAGGACATGGTGCAAGTAGCACCCTCCTCATAGAAATGGTGCAAGCAGGACACATGAAAGGCCAAATCCTCTGGATTAGAGGATTGCCTGGCAAATAACAAGTGAGCAGTTAGGGTTAGCTAACTTTTTGCTATCATTAAGTAATAATAATACAATTATTAATAGCATTATTCTGGGATATGGGATCTATTAGTTTTCATCAGAATCTTGAAGGGCCCTGGGATAGGATAGAATGACACTGTTGACAAATGGATGGATCCCATATTTTTACAAAAGCCCCGTATGTACCATTTCCCTCAGCTTTTGACAGAAAGTAAACGGCAGAGAGTTCCAGGCAGCACTTCCCAGCAGCACCTGGAGGGCGGCTCTTCCGTGCTGCCTGTGACATTGGAAGCAGTCAGCTTCAGCTGTCACTGGGCCGGGAGACACAATGGTTAGAAAGCCAGTGCCCTCCATCTGAAAGTGAGCTGAGGAAGTTCCTGAGGGCATGGTCAAAGTTATCTTTCAAAAACAACCGTGGGTACACTCCGGCACAACAACAAAAGAATAACTGAGGCCCATCGTTTTCTACATCCAGTAATGAGACCACAAAACTTTGAGATTGGAAAATGTTAAAAGGATGCATAACCAAAGGCTCACCTTCCTGGGGTATCGTCCCAGATAACACAGTTAAATGATTTATGCCACGATAAGCAAATTCATTCACTCTGAACACCTGCTGGTTGTAGCAAGCATGGGGCTCAGAGCTGAGGACACAAAGGTGCAGAGCCCCTAGTAAGAGGCCACAGGCCCACATGTAACATACAATTCGAGGGCATCAGAGATCCCTGCAAAGCATGCACTCCAGGTTCGAGGACTCCCAGAACTGCGGTGTTACACAAGGCACAGCACACACCAAGCTGTAATGGTGACTCCACTTCATAGAGCGATACACGGCTTAAAAGGTGACTATCAAGGATAAACAGTATCTCAGGCAGCTAAGGTGGGGGCACCTGTGCATCCAAGGCGGGGAAGGGCATGGTAGGTACAACAGGTAACAAAAACCCCACTCAGGGTGTCCCACAGCATGGCTGCTCCTGTGGCCTGCAGGACACCCAGGACAGGAGAAAACACTCTATTCAGAAGATGATTTAGAAGACAGAAGAATGTCAAAGGTCATAAAGCCACAGGGTATGTTCCCAGAGAGTGCACACAAGATGAGGCTATAGAACCAGAAACATCGACAATTAAAGACTGAGCAGAGGAAGAGGACGCGGAAGCCTGGAGTGCAGAAGACTGAGATGGAAAGATCTGAGAGGGAGAAGATGGGTTGTCAGGCTAACCAAGGTGAAAGGGGTCAGGTGCAGTGGCTCATGCCTGTAATCCCAGCACTATGGGAGGGCAGGAGGACTGCTTGAGCCTGGGGGTTTAAGACCACCGGCCTGAGCAGCATAGTGAGATCTCATTTCTACAAATTAAAAAATTAGCCAGGTGTGATGGTGCACACCTATAGTCCCAGCTGCTCAGGAAGCTGAGGTGGGAGGATCACTTGACACCAGAAGGTCGAATGATCCATGCAGTGAACCATGATCTTAACACTGCACTCTGCCCTGGGCAGCAGAGCGACACCCTGTCTCTAAAATGAAAATAAACAAGGCAGAATGAACATGCACTCAACCGTGTTCCAAAGCACACTAAAATTAACCAAAGTAATATGGAGGCTCACACTCACAAAAAGAAAGTGGAAGGAGTAATATGTTTTAGGAGAGAGGGAAAGAAGACAGAGGCAACGAAGCGATTCGACAGAGACACTCAAGCCCAAGTGTCCCCAGAGATCTCCCCTATTCACTCTCAGAAAGACTCAGGAAGTGACAGGAAAGGCAGGTCACTGAAAACAAAGGGACGGATTGAAATTCTTTTCAAGAACAATTAGATCCCCAGGTTGCAATCCCTGCTCCTGCTCCTCGAAGAAGACAGGAAGTGGGCTCTCAGTGGAAGCTGAGCTAGGAGAGCCCTGGAGGCAACAGGCAGAGTGAGGAGGCAAGGGGGAAGGGGAGGAGGGCCAGGCTGAAAGCAGGCACTGAGGGGGACTCTCCACCTGGAGCCTCTTCCCCAGACCACCTCTAGGAAGACTGGCTGTCAGATTTCAGCCCTTGTACCCGCTGGGCCAGAGCGTAGAGGCACCTGCTCTGGAGAGACCGAAGACTCTAGGGAAAATCCCACAGACGTGCTGGCAACTGGAGGCCCCCAACAAAGGAGCCCAGCCTGGCAGCCACAGCCAGCCTGCCCTGCAGACTCAGTCTTTCTGTACCCTGCTCTTCAGCACACACAGGCAGTCCAGGGCCGCCAGACGTTCGAGGAAAGCCTCCAAATGGACATACACCCTGCTGTGGTGTGGGTGCGGTTGTCTGTCCCAGCAACACTCATGCTGAAATCTGTCAAGTCGGTCTGAGGAGCAACTAATTCAAATGACAGGGAAAGGATAGAGAATAAAGGATAGAGGAGGGCTCCAAGGTAAAAATGGAATTGGTCATCTGCTGTGGACTAAATTGTATCCCCACCAAAATGCATGTTAAAAAAATGTTTGCAAAGAACAAAAACAAAAGAAGCTGTGTATGGTGGTGTGCACCCGTAATCTCGGATCTTGCCAGCCACTAGCTACTCTAAAGGCTGAGAGGCGAGGATCACCTGAGTTCGAGACCAGCCTGGGCCACACAGTGAGACTCCCCATCTTAACAAACATACGTTGAAATCCCAACCCTGCCACGGGACTATACTACAGATCTGGCCTTTAAGGGTAAAGGAGGTCATAAGGGAGCAGCAGTAAGGGAGCAGCCCTTGTCCTCATAAAAGAGAAAGACACCAAAGATCTGTTTTTCTCCTCCTCTTTTTAGCTTGTTCCACAGCAAGAAGGCAGCCATCTGCAAGCCGGGAAGAGACCCCCTCCCCAGAACCAGAACCCTGCCAGAACCTTGATCTTCAACTTTCCAGCCTCCAGAATGGTGAGAAATAAATTCCTGTTAAGTCACCCGGTCTATGGTATTTTACTATGGCAGTCCTGGCCGACTAAGACAGGAATTTTCTGTATGGAAAATTGTATTGAGAGGCCATGGGATGATGTGGGAGGAACTGGCATAGGTATATTAAAAACTGAACTAACTTTAAAAAGGCACTTAGTAACTCTGAAAAAACAGAGTATTAAGACATATTGTTGAAGACAAAATTATGCTCAAAATGTACACTGAAACTTAGAATTATATTTGAAGGATGGGGAAAAAGAGGGAAAAGAGTTTGTAAGGAAGCCGTCTCATCTACCATAATAGGAAGGCACCAATGACTTCAGCCTAATTTTTCTCAGATCATGGAGCTATGTTTAAGACTTCAGGCCAGGCACGGTGGCTCACGCCTGTAATCCTAGCACTTTGGGAGGCCGAGGTGGGTGGATCACAAGGTCAGGAGATAGAGATCATCCTGGCTAACACAGTGAAACCCTGTCTCTATTAAAAATACACACAAAAAAATTAGCCGGGCTTGGTGGCGGGCGCCTGTAGTCCCAGCTACTTGGGGAGCTGAGGCAGGAGAATGGCGTGAACCCAGGAGGCGGAGATTGCAGTGAGCCGAGATTGCGCCACTTCACTCCAGCCTGGGCGACAGAGCAAGACTCTATCTCAAAAAAAAAAAAAAAAAAGGCTTTAATAGAGGAAGTGACTATTACCCAGAAAGACAAACTGAGACTACTCTGCCCAACCTCAAACTATGAACATCTCTAGACAGGCAAACAGGAAAAGCTAGCATGGCTGCCGTTACGTTGTCTTTATCAGTATCTCTCACTATTCATACTCACAGTGCCAGTTGGACTCTCAAATATCCCAATCTTGCCAGCCTCCAAAACCCGGTAAAGCTCTGCCATGAAGTCTTCCTGGATGGAATAGGGCGTGAAGGGAAAAGGAAAATGGATGGTACCAACTTTCTGTGTTTCATTAGCCATGGACCTAGGAAAAATAAATATAACATGTTAAGCTCTCTCATGGTCCAGGAAGAAGTGGCTTGAAATCTGCAGCAGTATCTAAGAGCAGTTTCCACACTTGTTACCAAATTTCTCCTTGGGTTGTACATTTTTCTGGGAAGCAGAGACCTTGTTCTTTCCATCCTTCGCAGGTCCGCATGAGGCCATACCGGAATCACGCAATCCACCTAGCGACATGTAACGAACGACTCTAGCAGAATGCAGACCGGGAAAGCCCCTAAACCGAATCTCCCCTGCCATTTCACTGTGGCTCCGACACCTTCCTAATGCCTCTACAAAAGGCTTAGAGCTCTCTTCTCAAAGACAAGCACCCCTAGGATCTAGGGTGTTGCTTATAATTACTTTCTTCTCCCACTTCTCTGCAATGCACATTCACAAGCCGAAGTTACTTCACTTTATCCCATTGTAAGGTCCTGGAAAATCATGACTCACAGGCAGAGGACCACGAACACAGCTTGTTTGGATGGTGCAAGTTAACATACACATCCTTATAAGTATCTTTAGTTTGCTTCTTAGTTCATCCTAGCCTCCATTTCCAGCACCAGCCAGAGCCGCCTCCTACTAATTTTTCTGGCCTCAAGACGTATGAACTTTCTGTTTGGCTCCAGACAGGAGAGCTCTCTTCACATCACGGAGCTCTGGCTGGAACAGCTTCCCAGTACTGAGACCAGGCATTTCTCTTTCCTTACTAGGCTAAGGGCTAAGAAAAACTCTGCTCCACATTGACGTCATCTTTTTTTCCTCCTCTTCTGAATCTAATTATCTCTGAGATAGTGTTTACCTCTCCTCTCTTCCTTGAATCACCATCTGGAGGCCTGACTCTTCCATCCTGGTTCCCACACCTCTCTCTTTGGAATTCGCTTCTCCAAGCTATTTGCCAGGTCTGTCTCTTCTAAGCACAAATGTTAGTAAGTCCCAAACCTATTTTACTAATATTAATAGATCGAGAGCCCATCTTTGTAACTTTGGCCTCAACAAGAGTAGTGATAGTGTCACTGTATTTACGAGGGGAAAGGTAGTTGCCACGATGGTCTTCGGTTTACGGGCAATTAACACCACTACAGATTGGTGGCAATTTATGGATTTGCACAAGAAGAGAGAACTCACAGAACTAGCACTATTTTACGCTCTGTCTTTACAGATGTGCATCTGGCTGTTTTGTCAGACATTCTGGGGACAAGAAAAAATGAAAAAAGAAAAACATGACTACAGAGGTAGAGGAATAATTACAAGAAGGGTAATTAAAAAACACTATGACAATTCAATCCTGAGAGAGGGGTATGGACTAAAAAAGCTTTAACACATGAAGGAAGGGGAAGAACGGTACCTAATAAATTTTGAGGATCTGCTATGTGTTAAACACTCTACAGGGTCTTTTGCTTTTCTTATCTCATTTAATATGGCCGGGCGCGGTGGCTCAAGCCTGTAATCCCAGCTCTTTGGGAGGCCGAGACGGGCGGATCACGAGGTCAGAAGATCGAGACCATCCTGGCTAACACGGTGAAACCCCGTCTCTACTAAAAAATACAAAAAACTAGCCGGGCGTGGTGGCGGGCGCCTGTAGTCCCAGCTACTCGGGAGGCTGAGGCAGGGGAGTGGTGTGAACCTGGGAGGCGGAGCTTGCAGTGAGCTGAGATCCGGCCACTGCACTCCAGCCTGGGCGACAGAGCGAGACTCCATCTCAAAAAAAAAAAAAAAAAAAAATCTGTACAACACTATAAGGATACAGCTATCGGATACTGATTCTTATAGAAATTAATTGCTCAAAGTCACAGCTAAAAAGTGGAAAACCAGGGATTTGAATCCAGGTCCAAATGACTGTGCTTTAGTGAAGCTCATCCGGTTGCAAGAGATATCCAGCGTAAGTAAAGGGAGGCTCACTGAAAGGAGGTTCACAAACTGAGAGTAAGAATTGAAACTATCTGGGAAAGCCAAAAACAGAAGCAGACTAAAGCGGCAAGGTAGCTCAGACTTCAAGAGAGCTCCAGAACGTCACCAGCAACATACACCCACGGGGTTCACTCTCCTGCTCAGCCGGGTGCCGGACACGCCACAATCTCACTCCCTCGGCGCACTCGGTTTCTGCTTACCCCACACTGGAGCTTGCACGTGGCCTCGTCAGCCCCTGGACCTTTCAGCTTCGGCTCCCACTGCCAAATACAAAGTCTTGGTGTCTCCCTGTTCTGAATCCCAAGAGAAAAAGCTGACCAGCAGCTCCTCTCAAGACAGAACACTGGTCAGCCTGATACCGGTCAGGCTCCCGGCCTCATCTACTCAGCTCGGGTCTTGCACTTGCTGCTCCCCTTGGCCTGGAGAAGGAGGAGTCCTCAATATCCAAGCCTCGGCTCAGGCTCACCTCCTCAGAGAAGGCTCTCCGGCTGTCTGGCTACTGGACAGGGGTCAAACACCACCCCCACTCCTCAACCCCTAGCTTGCTCTAAGTCACTTTTTAAAAATCACATTACTCTGTATTTAACTTATTCATAGCTCTTAGCACCATCTGAACCTATTTATTCTTTCTCACTGGAATATAAGTTCCATAAATAGAGGAACCTTGTCTGTCTTGTTCTTCTCTGGCTCCAGGACTCAGAATGAGGTGCTTCAACACCTCATAGGCATTCAACAAAAATGTGATGAACGAATGAGTAGCCAGCCAGACATGCGGGCTGTATAAGTAAAGGTTTCTGTTCCAAGGCTGGGTAATGGAGGTCCCACGACTTCAATACCTATCTAGTTAAATGGCCAGTTCTTTAATGGTTTTGAACCGTTTTCACATAACCCCACAACAACCCTGTGTGGTATTTTTATAAGCTCTATTTTATAAAGAAAGAAACTGAGACGCAGTAAACTTAAGTGACTAGCCCAAGGTCACTCAGCAAGTGCTTGAACTCAGGATTTGAACCACATCTGCCAGACGGCCACCGCACCTGAAGCTTTGTATCTCCTCACTTTTCCTCCCACCAGGGTAAGTGGGATAAAAAAGGCAGACTTGGTTACCAAACTCTAGAATGACAATACTAAACAATACAGAAGAAACATTAAGTATTATTTCATTTCCCCGTCAGTGGTAATTATAGATCTCATTATTCCAGAAGCAGCACAGGCTAAATCATAGAGGTTTAGATAAATCTGAGTAAAACGGATTCACTAAGCCAGATTAAAAACATTTGCAGTGACTTGTTCACCCCTCTTCAGGTTGGCTGTGTGGACGGAGGACAACCATCACCTCCCTGTGCCAAGGCACACACCAGGACAGCAAATCTCATGCTCATTAAACGAGGTAAGAGTTGTAAAAGCATTTCAGGAACATATTGGTTCTTTTCTTTCTTTTATTTTTTTTTTGAGACGGAGTCTTGCTCTGTCGCCCAGGCTGGTGTGCAGTGGCATGACCTCCGCCTCCCGGGTTTACGCCATTCTCCTGCCTCAGCCTTCGGAGTAGCTGGGACTACCACGCCCGGCTAATTTTTTTGTATTTTTAGTAGGGACGGGGTTTCACCGGGTTAGCCAGGATGGTCTACGATCTCCTGACCTCGTGATCCACCCGCCTCAACCTCCCAAAGTGCTGGGATTACAGGCGTGAGCCATCGCGCCCGGCCCATGTCAGTTCTTAAAGTGTTCATTTTCTTCGGTCCCCAATTATCACTCATTACTGAGTACAGACTATTGCTATGGGCTCAATTGTGTCCTCCCCACACTGATCTTGGACGTCCCAAGCCTCTGGGACTGTGAGCAAACACATTTCTGTGTCGAAGCCACCCAGTTTATGGTCTTTTGTTATGCAGCCGGGGCTGACCAGGACAATATGTGGCAGGTACTACCTACCATATGGCCCTAAAATGTTTTAACTTCACACACCTGGAAAGCACCACAGCCCCAAGAGAAAAGCTTTTCCGCACTGCTGTTAAGCCAGGGCCATACACTGCAGTGCTGTGGTGCTCCACCAGCTGGAGGATGGCCTGGCCCATAAAACCCACATTCCCACCTTGCTCTGGCCCTGTGTCCCCTCCCACCTGCATCCTGAGCTTGCACCCTGTGTGGAACCCAACCAGCGGCTTATGAGCATTTAAGTCCACGTTTATGACACTTCCGTCAACAATCTGGTCAACTGCACTCATCCCTGGCCTCTGTACTGTACCCTGCTCCGCCTCAATTCCGGCCCTAAGGGAAGCTAGAGCCATGGAGCCCTTAACTTTATCGGCTCTGGGCTCAGATTGCCAAGTTTAGGATCCCAGCTGTATCCTTGCTAAAGTTAGTATCTCTGGGACTCAGTTTCTGCATCTGTAAGAGACAAGTGGGTCACAGTGCTCACTCACTGCTGCAGTGTCTTATATACGTAACATAATCCATGAAAAGCTCAACATAGCTGGGCCAAATGTAAGACCCAGACGCGCGGCTGCTGTAAATACCGACTCCTGCGCACCGCCCAGTTCCACCGCAGGCACAACCTTCGCAGGCCTGCCCAGTCTCCGCACAGGGTTCCCGCCTGTCAATCACGCTGGCCCCGCCCTCCACTTCCGGAATGATTTCCCGCTCGGGACTGGCCACCCACCTTTGCATACAGGGGTCCCGCGCCGGAACAGATACCTAGTTTGCGATTTCACCAGAGTCGCCCTTCCTTGTCCCGCTGCTCCTCGTCCTCAGCTCTGCCGCCACACAGCACTGCGCTGACCTTCTTCGCCGGAAGAATTGCTACGCTGAAAGCCAGGCCCAGGGAATCATGGCAAACGCCGCTGCATTTGAAACTCGCGGCTCCCTTCAATGAAAGGCTGCCGGAACAACCTCCGCCGCTGCGCATGCGCACTCCAGGACGCGCGCGAACACGCAGCTGCCGTAATCTGGAGGGGGCGTGGTTTGCGCGCTCCGGAACTTGGAGCTCAACCTCAGGGTTCGGTGCCTCCTCCCGCTGCTTTCCGCCCGCTGCGGGCTGTGTGATTAATCCCCGCCGATTAGCGCCAGTTGTACGAAGCGCTGGACGGTTGCCTGACCAGATGAAACATCAGCCGATTTTCCAACGCCCAGAGACGGGCGCTGTCCCCGAAACGGGAAACCTGTCTTCTGGTCCTGGCTCTAGTCGGCCTCTGGAGATCCGCAGCTCGGTTATTTTACCTCTGAAACGGACGACACCTGCACTGCGCATCCCAGCGGCTCCTCCACGCGGAGAGACAGTGTCAGTGAAAGGCCGTCTAGATGACGAATTGATGAAATCGTTTCTGCCCCGTGCGGGGCACGACCTTGCAGAGAGCCCGGAAGACCCAGCCCTGCCTGGAGCTTACCTGCTAATTAGGAGGACAACGCATCACCTCACCTCCCTGGACTTTGCTTCTCCTTTATTCAGTGAGGGATTGGACTAGCTGGTCCTTAAGAACTTTTCAGAAAGTCTGGTTCTGGCAGATGATCAATGGGAGCATCTCTTGCTACGGGCTTTCCTGGAATGACAGGTAATTGGTGCGCCTTCCCAGCAGGGTCAGGGGGAGTTGCTGGGACTTGAAGGAAAGGCTTCTGGGGAGAGGAGCCAGTGTTAACAAGCTGTCGAAAAGCTTGGAGGTGGGAATTTACAAAAGGTGATTCCAGGGTCAGTTTTTTTTTTTGTCACCTGCTTCCTTATTGGGCAGTTTGGAGAGGGCGAGGAAGTAATACCCTTCAGGGTCTTGGGATGTGGCCAGCAGACTCCTTAGAGGGTCTTTGAAGTCTTAGTTTTAAGTTTAGAATTCATGGCCAGAGTACTTAAATAGACTTTTCTCCAAAGAAGATGTACAGGTGGCTCACAGGCCCATAAAAATGTTGCATTCTACCCTATAACATCTGTGTTTGGTTTTGCATAAAAACAGAGTTTTAAAATAACTGTTGTCTGGTAAATTGACATCTCTAGAATAGAAGGTACACTAGGTTTTTTACCCTATTGCTTCAAACACCATCCCACACAGCCACACTCCTAGGGTAGGAATCGTCCAGTTTAAGAAGCGCCATTGGAGGAATAGAAAGTGATAGGACGTGAAGGTCGCTCGGGGTCTGGTTGTAGAAGGCTTTAAACAACAAGCTAATAAATTTAGACTTCACACTGTAGACAAGTTGCAAGTCACTGAAACATTTTTAAACAGAGGAGTGGATTTGCAAATGCAACGTCTTGGAAATACTAAGCTGGAAGCAGTGTGAAGGATGGTTTGGCGGGGAGACCAGAAGCAAGCAGCCAGGTTGGGTTGTGCAGTAAACCAGACAGTGCAGTAGGGGCTTGGACCTCAAGAGTGGCAATAGACATGGAGAGGACAAAGGCCGTTCCCACCAGGCTGTAAATCTGGATTGTGTCCCTCCATCCTCCCCTCACCTCTGCCCTGGAGGCTTATGTTTAGAGAGCTGTACTCCTAACATGAGGCCCTGGGCTTTGTCTCAAAGGTAAAGGCAAAAGTTCCTTATGTGGACTACCTCGGCATTTATTATTAAACAGCCTTAGATGATGCCATTGATGGAATGAACTCAGAGACCTTCATAAACTCCTCTTAAAACTCAGGGCTAGGAAGAAAAGTTCTTGTACTAATGTAGAAATATTTTCTATAACCGCACAGTGAGAGCTATAGAAACCCATTATGCATTCTTCTTTGCCTTCACTGCTAGTGATCTCACGGCTAAATATTGTACATTGTTTTAGTTTTCTTCGGCCAGCATTTTTTAATTTTGTTGTTGTTGTTGTTCTCACTCCTTCTTGCTAATTTTAAGTACATGTTCTAATAAAGTCTGACTGCCTGGATCCAGATTCCCTACTCCACCGTTTAACTAGCTGGATGACCTTGGCATATGACTTAAGCCTTCTGAGTCTCTGCTTTTCTCACGAATGAAATAAAGATAATAATAGAACTTACGTTCTAGAATTCTTACGAGATAAATGAGATAGTCCTGGTAACATAAAAGGCTTAACATCTAACATATCATTGTGGAAGGTTAACAAATGGTAGCTATTACCGATATGAATTGGGTTTGGTTTCAGCATTCCTGTGCTTTTATTATAAATTTCCTTAGATCCTCTTCTAGAAGGAGAGCATGTAGAACGTACAAGTTTGTTTTCAACAAGCAATTCTCTCGGGAGCTGAGAGTGAGAACTCAGTCACTCCTGCCATGATGGCAGCAAGCCTTTCATGAGGGATGTACCCCCATGGTCCAGACATCGCCCACCGGATGCCACCTCCAACACCGGAAATCAGATTTCAACATGAGACTTAGTGGAGCCAAACAAACCATATCCAAACTGTAACACCTAGGTAGTGGGAAAGGCTCATGAAATGTGCCTGTGCTATAAGAGAAAACATCATTAGAGATCATATTGTTCTGTCCCCAAGGCCCTGCATGCCTCACTCTGGAACAGTGCAAGATGGACCCTAATAATATTTGCTTCTCTGAACCCTAGTTTCTTGGATTATTATGTCTATCTTGATATGTTACTTTAGCTCATTAAGCCACACCATAGTGGGGTTGGGACATATTATTTCTTCACATAATAGCTTGATGTACTTAGTCAAACTAAATTTTCAGTAGTGTTTAAAATGGGGGAGTAGAACTCAGGAAGGTGGTAAAATCTGGATATATGGATTTGATCACCCCTGGGAAACAACAAAAACATCTAAACTGAAGCTATGGAGGTAGTAAGATTGCTGAAAGGAAGTTTCCGAAAGGAAAGAGGTATCCACATATAAAAGAATGAAGTAGGATCCTTGTCTTATACAATATATCCAAATTAACTTAAAATGGATTTTCTAAAGTTAAAATGAAGTTAAAGTTAAACATTAAAGTTAAAAGCAAGCTGTAAAACTATAAAACTGGTGGAATAAAACAGAGGGGAAAAACTTTATGACGTTGCATTTGGCAATGATTCCTTGGCTATGACACCAAAAGCACAGGCAGCAAAAATAAAAATATTGATGATGAGTTGAGGGATTTGTAAAATAACATACAAATAGATGAACTGGACAACAACAAAAGCTAGAACTTCTCTGCATTGAAGGACAAGATCAACAGAGTGAAAAGGCAACCTACAGAATGGGAGCAAGTATTTGTAAATCATCTATCTGATAAGGGGTTAATAACCAGAATACATAAAGAACTTCTATATCTCAGCAACATGAAAACAATCTGATTAAAAAATGGGCAAAATACTTAAATAGATATTTCTCCAAAAATGATGTGCAAATGGCCCACAGGCACGTGAAAAGATGCTCGACATCCCAGTCACTGGGAAAATGCAACTCAAAGCCACAATGAGGTACCACTGCAACCCGTTAGGATAGCTACTATTACACACACACACACACACGCACACAGACACACAGAGCCAGGCACAGTGGCTTATACTTGCAGCACTTTGGGAAGCTGAAGTGAGAAGATCACTTGAGGGCAGGTGTTCAAGACCATCCTGGGTAACATAGTGAGACCAGACCTCTGCAAAAAATTTTAAGAAATATTACGGGGGAATGGTGACACACACCTGTAGTCCCAGCTACCCAGGAGGCTGAGGTAGGAGGATTGTGTGGGCCCAGGAGTTCAAGGCTGTAGTAAGTCATAATTGCAGCATTGCACTGCAGTCTGAGTGACCCAGCAAGACCTTGTCTCAAAAAAAAAAAAGAAAGAAAGAAAGAACCTCAAAAACCCCAAAAGGAACAAAACAAAAAATAAATGATGGCAATGATATAGAGAAATTAGAACTTTTGTACATGGCTGGTGGGAATGTAAAATGTAAATTAGAACTTTTGTACATGGCTGGTGGGTATGTAAAAATAGAATTACCATATGATCCAGCAATTTCACCTCTGGGTATATAACCAACAGAAGTAAAAGCAGTGTCTTGAAGAGACTTTTGTACACCTGTGTTTATAGCAGCATTATTCGCAACAGCCAAAAGGTAGAAGCAACCCAAGTGTCTACCGACAGATGGATGGATAAACTGGTGTATACATACAGCAGAATATGACTAAGTCTCGGAAGGAAGTTCTGACACAGGCTACCACATGGATGAGCCCCGAGGCTATTATTTGTATTGGGGTTCTCCAGAGAAACAGAACCAGCAGGGTGTGTGTGGGGTGTGTGTATGTGTGTGTGTGTGTGTGTGTGTGTGTGTGTGTGTCTACCCAGAGATAAAAAGAGGTTTAAGGAATTAGCTCTTGCAGTTGTGGAGGATTGGTGAATGAAAATCTGATTGTATTGGCTGGCAGGCTGGAGACCCAGGGAAGAGTTATAGTTCAAGTCCAAAGGCAGTCTGCTGGCACAATTCCTTGTTCAGGGGAGGTCGGTCTTTACTCCAGTAAGGTCTTCACCTAATTGGATGAGGTCCACCCACATTACAGAGGCTAATCTGGTTTACTTAGAGTTCATTGATTTAAATGTTAATCTCATCCAAAAAAAACACCTTCACAGAAACACCCAGAATAAAGTTGGCCAAATGTATGGGTATGATGGCTCAGCCAAGTTGACACATAAAATTAACCATCACATTATACTCAATGAAAAAGCCAGTCAAAAGACAAATACTATATGATTCCACTTACATGAGATTGCTAGAGTAGTCAAATTCATAGAGACAGAAAGTAGAACAGTGATTGTCAGGACCTGGAAGAGGGGCAAATAGGGATTTGTTTTTTGGGTATAAGAACTTCAGTTTTGTAAGAGGAAAAGTTCTGGAGATTGGTTGCACAACAATGTGAATGTGCTTAACATGAATGAAGTGTACATTTGAACAGGGTTAAGATGGGACATTTTACTATGTATATTTTATTACAAGTTTTTGAAAAACAAATGAGGAACAGAGAATGACCT